AGTAGATAGAACGATTTGAACTTGCCGTCAACTATAATTTATTCTACAAGATGATTGATGATTGTTTCGTTTAATCAGTAGTTTTTTATCGTCTTAAATTAATTAGGTATCAAACGTAGTTAAATAATACCTGTGTTCAGATTTTTGTAAAATATCAAGCAAAACTGAATTTTAGTTCATGCATATTTTCCGTGTCAATTCTACAGAAATAACTAATATTCAATATTATTCGAGTTTGCTGTAGAAAAGTAGTACATAATGTAAAAGAATTATTATATTGTATATCTATATATTGATCTACATCTAATTCTATAATACTCATTGCAAGAATAATTGCGATTTGGAGTCCATATAAAGCCTTACATCGAAATAAATCTATAGCATTTAGATAAATTTGACAACAATTGCAACAGTTATAAATGCATTTATTTGGGAATTCATGAAAAATAAATAAGAAATAGATTATCGATGAAATTTTGAATACTATATTGCTTTAGTCACATTAACAGCTTCAAAGCAAAAGTCAAAATGAAATGTTACATAAGAAAGAATTTAAACAATACATGTACCACATTTAATTGCGGAACTAAAACAGCCAATTGAAATCTAAGCTTCAGAACGTTTTTCTTTTCTACCTTTTTTCAATTTATTTTTTGCTTTCCTCTTGTATCGCTTGCCTTGAAAACGAGCGTAAACATGCAAACATTTTGTGTAAATAAACTACTTGTAAAATGGATTTTACATGTGCTGTTAAACATATCTAATGTAACAACCAAAATATCTACACCCCAGCAAAATGAATCATTTAAGTTAGATGCATTTGAAATTATATGCTGAAGTATTTATTGAGATGAATAAGTATGCACTCTAACAGAATTATTCATTCAAGGTTACACACATTTCAATGTAAGCAGTATTATTCATTTGAAAAGAATAAATAAAAAACAATCATTCACTCGAGTGCAAGATTATTATTTGCGCCATAGCTGCATCATTTACTGTACAGCATCTTTGATTTTTAGTAGATTCGAAAAATAAACGGGCTATTTGCATAAATCTCCATTGCCAGATTTGACACAAGTTCATTTCTTATTATTTTAATAGATTTAAAATCAAATGATTTCTGATGTCGGAAGTTTTTTGTGTGTAAAGAAGAAACCTAAATCGAAAGGACTATTCTCTGTTAGTAGGAGAAAATCAATTAATTGAATCAAACTATTGAAGTAAAAGACAGACTTTGTTTTATGTTTCATCATGTGCTTGTGAAAGATTGTGAGTAGTAGTAGTAGCAATAGTCTTGGATAACATTACACTAATGCAAAAGTGCCATTTTGATGTGTAAAGACGAGTCAGTCTGTTACATCTTAGAACTTCATTGCAAGTGAACTAACTACTGGATAAAATAAGAAGCGAAAAACTTGTGCATAAAAGCATCATATATCATATTCAGTTTTAGAGTTATAGAAAATTGTACAAGTCTGTAAGTCACATAAGCTGAGATTGTTACATTCTAACTGTCTCCTTATCGATAATTCCAAAAACTGATTCCATGGGATCTTTGTAATTGACGGCTCCACACGATGGCTGTGATATTCCGTAGCCAAGCATTCGCAGTTCCTTTGGAGTCATCTGTAACTCTTTGCATCTTTCCGGTGGAATCGTAAGATATTCATTTTCTGCTTGACGATAAAATGCTTTCATGAGAAATACACCGAATACTTCGCGTTTTTCATCTTTAGTTTTATTTTCTCCACCAGCATGATAGAGATTGCCGAGAAAAATTGTTGCATCACCAGGTTCCAATTCAGCAGGTACGGCTTCCTCTACTAATGGTGCACGATTTTCGTCTTCCCACAAGTGTGAGCCAGGAATGACAATAGTTGCTCCATTATCTCTATGTGTTCGCGTTATGGCAATCACACAACTAATCATCATAGGTTGATCACATGGTCGTGCATGATAGTCTTCATCATCTCGATGAAGTGGCTGTTGTTGGCCACCCGGATTTATACGAAAGGCATTGGTTGCAGAAAAGATTGGCTTTGAAACTGCTGTATATTTTTCTAAGCCACGATAATAATGATACGTAGATGTTAGTAAACGATCTCCTACAGCTAAAAGCAATGGATGCATACACATATCAATACATGCTCGTGAGATGCCAAAGACATGGTTGGCTCGCTGTGTTGTTGTTGGAAAGAAACCTGATTCGTCGGGAATGTCCGAATCGAAGTAAGGTGCAAGATCTTTTTGGACCTGTTCGATATGATCTCTAGAAAACATACCAGTAACGATTGCAACACCATCGCGTTCAATATGTTTTATTATGTCAAATTCAGCAGTTGGACTGGTTGCCGATACTCGTGCAACGGTCACTTTTGTAGCTGGTAACATCTGGAAGAAAAGAAATGCCACGATACTAAACTAGCTATGATCCTAGATGTCATAGAGTGGTGACAGATAAGAATGCATAGAGATGGTTTGATTTCACTTATGATCGTATTATAGACTGGAGTAGAGACAAAAGCTTCGCTTTTGAATCCGTTCAGGTATATGAAAGTTCTATTAAATTTACAGATCAGCTCAATTAGTCAGGCAAAGTCAGTTCATATCGACTGATAGCTGTTTGATTATCTGATAGAATTGTAGATTATTAACATGATCCAAGCGATGTATAGCTCACCTCAATGTATTGATTTTCAATCGAAAATGTGTACAAATCGCAAAACAGTATTCATGATAAATAATAAATAATGAATAATAATACTCCCACAACTTGGCCTAGTTTGTGTCAGTGATTTTATATACGAGAAACCCCTTTATTCGACTGCTCCTTGCCTTCGCTAAGATCCAAATGCTAAACAGAGAAACAAGCAAAACGATGAAAGAGAAATAAACACAGAAAGAAAGAAAAAAAAACTGAAATCTAATAGAGAAAAAAACGAAGACAATAGTCATATACGGAACTTGAAGGAGTGTGAGCTTTATGACTATAACCAGTCTACCAACTGAAAGAAGTATGCATCTGCATAAATGAATGAAGGAAGACAAGTCTATTTAAATTGAAAAACATAGGATTACAAACTTTATAAACATCCAGATAATACGAGGAATATTTTCCTCAGCGTATTTGATAATAGACTGATTGTAAGAGTTCAAAAATAGCAGCATTAAAAGTGTATTCCTTTTGCAAATAGAACTCTTAAGATGTCATTATAATTACTTCAACTTTTTGAATATTATCATTTATTAGTATCACCTTTCAAACAAAAATTGTCTCATCATTTTATGTACATACATAACAGTATTCTACACCAGTAGGATACATAGGATTGAATTTCGTTAATAGCTCAATTGGAATCATATGTAAATAAGAAGTTCTGTTTTTATCTTCGGCTTAATTAGAGCTATAAAAAGTTCACATACTAATAATTCACGATTGTTATTATTTGTGAAGTGCTAAAAATATTTTTAGAATACGAGGAAAAAAATCAGAAACAATTCGATTTGTTTCCATGGAAAATAATTCAAATGGCTCTATTTGATTCTAATTTAAACCGATGCTTTTGGTTTCAAAAGTAGTCTTTAGTGCAATTTTTATTTCCGATTGGTTAATATTACTATTCAAAATCAATTAAGGGAAATACAATGAAATATATCTGTAAATTTTTAACACCAACTAGAATGTTTTGTAGTCAGTTTTCATCTAGGAAAAAATTCATTGCAATGAGATTTTCCCTCTTTTGTTATGTTGAAGATCTATCTTAACGAGAATGTGAATGACACAAAAGAAAAGTACTGACTTACAGCCATAACCTAATAGCAGCAGATTAAGCCAACCCTGAGCCTAAGGAAAATCATGATGACGGCATCGTACAGTATTTTGCAAGAAGCAAATTGAAAATTATTTTAAAACAAAATTTGAAAAACGTCCTGAATGATCTCAATTACACTAATTCTTAATGAACAACCTGTAGTAACATGTACGTCTGCTATTATTAATTAAAAAAGAAAAGGTGTAACTCTGATAAATATTCAGTCCTCTAGTTAGGTGCTTCAGAACAAGATGTGTTATCTTTGAATAAAAAGTTCAAAAGTGCTATTCATGAACTAGCTTAGATTTACTGAAGTTTTAGTTAGAATGATCTACCTTTTATTCAATCAATTATAGAAAAAACCATAACATTACACATATTTTTTGTATACACATAGTGATTTATTCTTTAGCTGTAGCGCATTTAAATACTGTTCTGTTGGGCTTGTTCAATTTTATTCTTAAACGAAGCCTTTCAACGAAAAACAATAGTCTACTTCATGTCTATAAGCGTTGAATAAATACTTTTCAAGACAAAAAATAAACTGATGAAAATAGTCCACTCTTTGTTCGTTGCGACTCAATCATCATAACATTGGTTGAATAGGTTTTGCTGTTTGTTTTGTTAATCAATAGAATTTACGATCGAAATCTTCTATTCAACTTCTGAAAAATCACGTGAAGGGCACACTATAGTTCTTAATATCTCTAATCACCTGATATGCTTGAAACATATTGTTTTCGGTTTGTGAACTTTTGGATCTGACATATTTTTCTCTGTTGGTTTCTGACGATGACTCAAGAATTGGTAGTTAATGGAAGAAACTAGCACAGTCTCCTGTAATGTTCTTTTTGTCTTCTGATCGCGGAATCATAAAGTCTGGTGACTTAAAAAAATATGACAACAATAGAATACATGTATATGTATATACAATCCAATATCTTTGCTTCAATAAAACATTATTCAAAGAATATAAAATCTATTCAACTCGATAGCTCAGTCGCTGCGCTACTCAGGAGTTCCACGTGCAGGCTCCTTCCATCCCGAAACAAGTACGATCATATAGGCGATCTGATGTAGGGCGTAACAAAGCGCAACAGGAAGCAATAATATGCTTAAGCCGTGTATTATAGCAGCGAGATATAAATAGTGTGCAGGAATGTGAGCAAGTATTATATAGCAGAATGCCCATGTAGCGTGCAGAATCCAAACTGCAGTACCGATCTTGCTGTAATGACCCTTAGGAAATACGATTTGTAGAATGCGAAAACTAAAACCAGACTTGGGGGCAAACTCAGTCCATGGATAATTTGCTGCCACATTGTTCGTATCTATTAATCCTGAGCCTAGTTCGAGCGCTAAAATCATCAGCATCCAAAGAGATATCCATAGTCTTAATTCAGCTGCCCATACGATAAACACTAGTTCGGCAAGTAAATCACAGTACCTATAAGAAAATATTATAAATAAAATGATATTAATGAATGGCTCGTACCAGTCAAAACATGCACCAAAAACTGTACACTGCTGATACTTTCTTGCCAAGGGTCCATCCTAAATGTGAGAATGTTTTTGTGTGCGAGAGATATAAATGTCGATACTCACAATCCAATCTAACAGCCAGCCTCCTGTATAATTACAAAATGAAGCAAAAATTGCCCAATCAAATGAGTTTTGATGAATAGCTGCACTTGCTCCAGTCACCGAAGCGATAATCAAGATCAAGCGAATGTAGCCGATTATATTAGCATAAAAGAGCCAAATTTCGTACAAATATTTACCTGAATGTGTGTAAGTCGGCATACTGAATTGTATGGAAGAGTCGAAAACTGTTCTGTTTTAACTGATATACAAAAAGTATGTTGCCAATACGTAACTTTTGATTCAGTATTATAATATCTAGATAAAATCCGAAATTTTGAAATACTTTCTTAGCTGAGCAAGTCTTTTAGAATACATACTATACTACTAAACACACTAGAAAGTGACGACCTCGCATTGTGTGTATGCTAGTCTCGTAGAAAAAAAAAGTATGATTATTGTTCGGAGCTAAACATTTACCTTTTCCTACATATGAAAATATCAACTAGGATAGTTCGAATCAACTGAACAATATTTGTTTACACAATAGCATAGAAAAGCATTTTTTCATAACAGAAGTGGATTCTGAAAAAAAGATTTCTTTAAAATAGCTGCAAAAGATTTTCGTCCAATGCTTATGGAAGAATTAATAGATATAATTTACCTATCATGTTACGCTCTGAACATTCAATGACAGTTAAAGCTTTGTTTTGACACTATAATTTTATTATTTGTTATATATACAGTATGTAAAAGAATTATTCGGACACTCTACTACACGAATTTGTTGAGTGAATTTCTGAGTGAAGGAAATATATTTTTTAAACTCTGATTACATCATTCGATAGGTCATCATCTCTACTTTCTATTCCATAGAAAATAATTTTTCCATAACGTAGTTTTCATAAGGTTTTAGAAGATTTTCTAAGAAGCACTCGATTTTGCAAGCAAAACAATTATTCGGACACTTGTATTTTTTTCGTTATAACAGCTCTGTTTTGCATCGAAACATTTTGAATTA